CAGACACACAGGGAGAGACAGGCCCTGCCCCAGCTGAGATCAGGGCCAGCTTGGACTGACATTAACATGCTCCCTACTGAGACCTGCAGCACAGCGCCCCTTAGCACTGCCCTGGTGCATTGGGGTCAGCAGTGGCTGCAAGGTAGGCTGACCAGATAGCGAGTGTGAGAAATCGGGACAGAGTGGTGGTGGGTAATAGGAGTCTATATAAGAAAAAGCCCCAAATATCGGGACTGTCCCTATAAAATCGGGACATTTGGTCACCCTACTGCAAGGTGAGAGCACTTTATTGAGCCTCTACCCTGATAACTGAACACAGCCCCCATCCCCGCCCCCTCAGTGCCACAATGGGGCATTGGGGCCAGCACTGACTGTGAGGGGAGAGCGCGCCCTGCTGATCCTCCTGCTACGCTAACCTGTAGCACAGCGCCCCCTTGCATCACACTGTGGTATTGGAGCCAGCACTTACTCTGAGCACCCCATGGTGTTATGGTCTTGCCACGCTCCCCAGAGCTCACTTTGTCTCACTAAAACATTGAGTGTGAAGGCTCCGTGTGTCTCTGCTGGTGGAGCAGGTCAGAATGATCAGATCCATTATTTTAATAATTGTAACATTTCCCCGTCCAGAGGGCTCCGGGTGCAAACTCTGCCCCAGGCACTGGGCGCCGTACAGGGACAAGTGCTACTGGTTTTCTGAAGAGAATGAATACTGGAGCAGGGGCCGTGATGACTGCTCATGGAGGGGATCTCACCTGTTAGTGATCCAGGACCAGGAGGAGCTGGTAAAGAATGTGCTAAACTTCACCTATCATATTTGTGTCCTTGTTAATGAGCACAGGTCACGAAGCCCTCTTTTTATTTTTCCAGCAACAAACTTTTGAAAGTAAAATTTTCATTCACAATTTTTCTGTTTTTCAAAGGAAAAATTTAAAGGGAAATGAAATGTTAGTTTTTTTCAGAATTTTGACAGATATTCTCCATTTATTTTTAATAATTTTTTAACAATTTAAATTTTCAGTTGTGCAGAATTATGGATTTGAAGTATTTTTTATCAATTTTTATTACTGTAAATTTTCACGGTTGTGGGAAATCATGGGGCGGGGTCAGACACTGGGAAGGGAGGTCGGACCATAATTAGTTAATGACAGTAGATGCTGAGTTTCAAAGAGGTTAAGTTTTGTAACAGTCAACATATACAAAGTAAGAATCCTTAAATCAAATGCTAAGGTCTCAAATAACATTTTTCTTACTTTGCCTCTCTGTAAATTTTGATTATTGTCAATGGAAATATTTTTCATCAGTTTGTGTGTGTACGGTGAAGTCAACATTTGCCGATAAAAATCGAATCGTCCCAAGCCTATACACTTAGACTGGGAATGATTAAATTTTTATATAAATAAATATATTAATAGTAGATCCCAAAACATTTTACAGTGTTAAAATGATTAGGTACAAACTGGAGACAGGAATCTCGCAGCTATCGCTGGGATGTGGCTACTTCTGGGGTGGGACAGCTGGGTAACAGCTGTATAGCAACATTGCACAGGGTTTGTTCACTCCGTACAGAATCCTATATGGAAAGAGGTGCAGTAGGTGGATAACAGCTGACATGTTTGCCCAGGGTTGAAATGCTATTAATTATTTATTAGAGCTGTGTTTAAAAAAAAAAAAAAAAAAGCACAAAATATTGTAAAAATTGTCATTCAAAAAAATTGAGAATGTTTACTGATGTTCACCGAAAATGATAACCAAAATTCATCAAAATCTTGGTGTAGGGGAACAGGACTGACTCAGTTATTAATTAATGCTATACAGTCTTTGTTATGTTTACTTTCAATTGGAGTTTCATCTCGTTCTGACTTGTCACCAGTATTAATGATCAAAACCCAAACTAGAGATCAGGTCTCATTTGCATTGTGAGCAAAGGAGCCAGAGAATTCTACCATGTTCTGTTCCCTCTGACACCGTGTCCATTTCACAGGAGTTCACACAGAATCTTACAGGAAATCAAAATCCGGTGTGGATTGGACTCAACATCACATCCCAAAGGAAGAATTGGACCTGGGTGGATGGTTCCCCGCTAAATCAAACACTGTGAGTGATTCCTGATTAGTATTTGACATGAGTCTGCAATAAATACATAGTGTGAAATACTGGGCCCCATTAAAGTCAAGGGCAAATCTGCTGTTGACCTCCATGGGGCAAGGATTTCATCCATTAAATCTTACAGGATAAAGACCTCAATCCTGCAAACACACATGGGGTTAAGTCTCATTGCAGTGAATGGCAGTATGCATGGGAGGAAATCAAGGCAAGTACATAAATATTTGCAGGATCTGGGTCTCTGTTTGCATGGCCCCACACTCCTGGGCAAAACTGGTTACAAAATGGGGAGAAACACGATTTTTTCAATCTTTTCTTGTTTTTTGTCAACATCTGAGATTTTAAAATTCAAAAGCTGATCAATTTCAAAACTGAGAAAGTCCCAACTGCCTCCATAGTTGGTCAAAAAACTAGATCATTCAAAATTCATCAAAACTACCCTGTTTTTTCACTGAAATTTGAAACTGACTCAACTTTTCATGTAAGTTTCAAAAGCGGAACATTTGCATCTGTTCTAAGGATTGGCCTCTCTGCACTAGCACTCTGATTAATCACTTTGCTGCAAGTTTCTGTACCATGTGCACCTCTCCACCAGGTCTGGACTTCAATATATCAACTTGTTTCATGTATTAGCCTATCTGGAGAAGGACTAGAGATGACGGCTGGACCCCCAGCATCCTGGAAGGCAGGAGAATAGCTGCAATAGACCCTCTTTCCCACCTCTAAACCCACTGATTGTGACTGTCTCCTTCACTCCTTTCACAGATTCACAGTATCGGGTCCTGCTGAAGAGAACAGCTGTGCTGCAGTAAAGAAGAATCAGATCAAATCTGAAATCTGCAACACTCACTATAAATGGATTTGCCAAAAGGAAGCTGTGCTCATTTAAATTGGGGGATTGGCGACCTCTGTCTGCATCTATGGAATGCAGAACATCCTCATCTCTATTGCAGCTAACAAAGCCTCAGGCAGCATAAATCTGGGTAACGCCGATAAAGTGAATGGCGCAATGCTGATTTACACCCATTGTGGGTCTGGGCCCATTGCCTCCAATGGAGTTACGGCCAGTTCACACCAGCTGAGAATCTGGCCCTTGGATTATTTTTTAAAAAAAATAAATCTATAATTTTTTCACAGTGCTTCTAATATTGTCTTCAGAGTATTAAAAGATTCCTGGGACATTATTTTATACATGATGGTAACACCTAGAGGCCCCAGCTGAGATCAGGGCCCCATTGTACTGGGCACTGCAGACACACAGGGAGAGACAGACCCTGCCCCAGCTGAGATCAGGGCCCCGTTGTGCTGGGCATTGCAGACACACAGCGAGAGACAGTCCCTGCTCAGGAACAGATTTTCTTTTTCTGTAAAAATGTTTTCCATTTTCGGGGGGAAAAAATGATTCTCTTCAGTTTTCAAAATCTGAACTTTTTTGTAACTGAAAATGGAACATTTTTATTGAAAATGGAAAAGTTTCCCCCCCAAAATGTCTGATTTCTACTTTTTCAAGGAAAAAACCCCACAATTTTTGTGGGAAACTGGCTTTTGTTTTCTGTCATTTCAAGGGCAAGCCAGAAAATTTTGACCAAAGCAAAAATTTGCTGGGAACATGTTTGATTTGGTTGAAAAGCTGTTCTTCAATGGAAAAAAATTTTAGGCCAAACGTTTTCAGAAAAGGTCTACTATTTATAGCGGTGTCATTTCAAACCCCAGTGAATTTGGTTCCATTTCTCCATCCCCTGCCCTCCTCCCCACCCCCAGCAGTGTGCTAACGTGACAAGAAAATTCACTAATCACATTGTATAGCACAAAACTCAGAGCAGGGCAATTCAGCTTTACCTCCGCTGGAGAGAATCATTGCAGGATTCGCTCACTGTTTTATCTGCTTGTCACCCCTAGGGGGGCAGAGTCTGACTACGCACCAATGGAGGGAGCATGGTCAGCGTTGTAATAAAATACACAACCATACTCGTGTGTAAACAGAATCAGCTATGATCTATTTAACCCTTTTATTCTGTGCAATGACTGGAACACATGAAGTCCAGCATCTGGTCACTCTCCCCAGTTCGACGCCTCTTTTGTTCATGGAGAGCGCGATTGAACAGATTTAAGAACAACACCATTGGACAGTCATATCCTTGCATTTCAGGGTAATTTCTAGCTATAGGGCTCAAAGCACTTCACATAGGATTTAGCGATGGGGAAATTTCTATCCTGATTTCTATCCCCACCTCTACTCTAACCCACTAGTGTAGACTAGCTCGTAAATTCAGGCCGATGTAGCTACATCAGTTAAGAGGTGTGAAAAAATAGAATGAGATAATCTCACGGTGGATAGGTCTATCCATGGCTGTTAGCCAAGATGGTCCAGGACACAACCCCATGCTCTGGGTGTCCCTAGCTCTGACTGCCAGAAGCTGGGACTGGACGATGGGACGGATCACTCACTAAATTGGCCTGTTCTGTTCATTTCCTCTGAAGCATCTGGCCCTGGACACTGTCAGAAGACAGGATACAGAGGCTAGATGGACCTTTGGTCTGACCCAGTGTGGCCATTCTTCTGAAGAGCACACATCCCTGACTGACACAGCTATTCCAACCCAACGCTCATTGTAGACATAGCGAAGACGACGGAAGAATGCATCCATCAGCGTAGTTAACCTCACGGTGTGGAGTTCCTACAATGGAAAAACTCCATGCACTGGCATAGGTTGCATCTAAGCTATGAGGTTATGGTGTCATCGTTATGCCAACGTTTTTTAAATGCTCACATTTCTTGAAAGTTTTGCGCTAAGAAAACCAGTCTTCAATTCTCCTCTAAAAACTCTGCCAAATGATTTTTTTTCATTGTTGTCAAAATTATTCCTCAGAACCCCTCCTCCTCCGTTTCCTGACTGGCTCTAACAACAGGCTGTGCCTGGCATTAAATAGATACTAAATGAATATCTTCATGGGGAGAAAATACTGGGTATTGAAGGGTGCTTTAATGTAGCCAAGAAAGGCAGAACAAGGGTATGTCTACACTACAGGATTAATCCGAATTTAGATAATTCGAATTTGGGAAACAGGTTGTATAAATTCGATTGTGCGCGGCCACACTAAGCACCTTAATTCGGTTTTTAACCACATTAATTCGGTGGTGTGCGGCCACACTACCCCATTAATTTAAACACAGTAATTCGGTGGTGTGCGGCCACACTAACCCTAATTCGAATTAACAAAATCGATTTAAGCTCTACTCCGCTCGTCAAGGTGGAGTATAGAAATCGATTTTAAGTGCCCTTTAATTCGAATTAACTGGCTCTGTAGTGTGGACGGGTGAAGGGTTAATTCGGATTAACGCAGCTAAATCCGAATTAAAGTCGTAGTGTAGACCAGGCCCAAGAGCCAACTCCCAGTTAGAAACAAGGCACAAATGAGGGTGATTAATCATTGGAAGAAACCCCCAAGGGAAGTGGTGGATGCTCCATCTCTTGATGCCTTTTGGGAAGAGGCTTTTAGTCAAACACAAGTCACTGGGCTCAGTACAGGGGTAACATCGTGAGATTCTCTGGCCTGTGTTATCTGGAGTGGTTTCTTGGTAACTCCTTATGCTTCACCATCTCTTCCACCTTGTTTTGAGCTGTGACACGCTGAGGACCTTTCCCAGACAGGCAGCAGAGCTCTGTGGACCTCGAAGGCTTGTCTCTCTCTCCAACAGATCCAATAAAAGATATGACCAGAGGTGATGCGTGGGGGGGCTGGGGGGGGATTAGGGTCTGGCCATTCTTATGTTCTGATGACTGAGCATGCTCAGTAACGTCTGCCGAAGCCACCGCCCTCTCTCTGCTCGGCAGGTCTCTGGATATGTCAGGATGTCAGGCTAGATGACCTAGTGGTCCCGTGTGGCCCGAAACGAGGACACGTCTCCAGGAAACCGGTCTGCAGCCCCCAGCCTCCAACAGCAGGAAGCCCTGTTCTGAGACACTCTGAGAATCCCAGCAGCTGAGGAAGTGGGATGCAACAGGGGGAGCGGACTGATGAGCCAAAGCTGATAACGTGTGGGTGCAAAGGGCTGCTGAAAGCTGCTCACCTAGCAGAGACATTCTTGCCTGAAGACGGCTTCCTGCAAGGCCCCCAGACACCGAGGCTGCTAGCGGAGGTGTGACGTGCTGCAGCTCAGTTTGCAAGTCCTGATGCTGCCGGGGCAAGTTCCAGCAGCCCCCGTTTTGTCTGTGTAAGTAACAATGTGACAGTCACGCTGCCTGGTGACGGCTACACTTACAATGCTATGGCAGCACGGCTGCAGCATTGCAGTGTGGACAGCAACGGGAGAGATTCTCCCGAGAGGTGACACGTAGGGATGTGGAAGAATTCTTCCATCGACCGAGCACTGTCTACTTTCCCACACCCCCGAGACACGCTGCTATCCTGCCAGAAGTTTTCCGTGCAGACCAGTCCTCCATCTTTCTTGGTCCACGGATCTCTTCCAGGATCGGAGCTCATTCTCTGCGTCCCTGAATCGCTGCTCGGCTGGCTGCAGAAAGACCCTCGTGCTGCAGCGTGAGATGATGCTGTGTGATGGGCTCTAAGGTACTCCAAGCTCTGTGCTTCTGCCTCACAGAGAGACAAACTCATCGCATAGCAGCAGTGTGGTCCAGTGGGTGGGGCAGCACTGGATTGGGATTCTGTAGACCTAGATTTGTGTCCCAGCTCGGCCGTCTGGGTGACTTTCGGCAAGTCAGTTCACCTCTGTTTCCTCTCCCACGCTCTGTCTGGCCTTTTAGTTGGAAGCTCTCCAGGACTGAAGGCGGTGGTTCTCAACCTAGTTACCGCTGTGGGCCGCATATGCAGCTCTCTATGTGTTATGTGGGCTGCATCCACACAATATATATACCACCTGTATGACCCTGAGGATGTCACATGGGCCGCAGCTGTGTGCTGACTGGGCGGGGCACAGATTGCAAACGTCGACAGAAAGTCACTTACCAGGCTCTTGCCACCTCGTATTCGGTGGCCGAGTGCTGCGCACCAGTATGGAGTCAATCATCACGCACCAAACTGGTGGATACGCCGTTATCTGCTGCCCTGCGCCTCATCTCCAGCACACTGCATCCAACTCCACTCCCCTGGCTCTCAGTCCTGAGCAATATCGCTCCTCCTCATCTCAGACGAGAGTCGCCACTGGCAAGTTACTGGAGAAAGTACACGCCAGCCCAAGCCTGCCACGGCACAATGACCTTTTTAACCCATCACGTCGCCCATTATGGTCTCATCCGCCACGCCAGGATGTTAGGGTGGAAACCCTCTGGAGAGAGGAATGGATCTGTTATAATCCCCAACCAGTCCCTCATCGCCGACCCCACAATCTGCCTGCCTGGGTTTGACCTGCCTCATCGCCAACGGTCCCTGTTGAACAGGTTCCAGACCGGGCAAGGTGTGTGTCCAGCCAACCAGTATCGCTGGGGCCTTCGTGACAGCCCTTTGTGCAAAGGCGAAACGCAGGCGATGTCGCACGTTGTCGATGAATGCCTGCCAACTAGGTCAGTGGTGGGCTAGAACTGCATCATGCCGCTGAAGATGCCATCGCTTGGCTAGACGACTATGCCCACGCTAAATACTGACCATTTGTATGTAGAGCAGCACTGGGTTAGGGTTTGGGTTGGTGCTACGGTAACATAATAATAAATCCTGTTGGGAATCCTCCATGCAGCCACATGGATTATTCCCTCTTCCAACAATTCCCCAAGTTGGACGGACTTCTCCCACAATCCTGAGCAAAAGTGACCCACAATGCAATGGGACTAGGATCAGTTTGCGTGATAAGGGCTTACGGCTGGTTGTGAAAAAATGGATGAAAGCTTCCAAATTCTTGACTCAAGACTGGATCTTTTTCTGAAAGCCCGGCTG